AGGAGCAAGAGGGTGAAAGAGAAAGGAAATAAAGGTTCAGGTAAAGAATATTCCTAGGTCTCAGTCACCAAGAGTGGGAATAATAAAAATACCTGATATTGGTAGGCACTCTTAAGGTTGACAAATCACTTTCATGTAACCTCATATGATGACCCTATAAGGTAGGGGCTAGTACTCTTGTTTTACATATGAGTAAACTAAGACTCAAAGAGGTTGTAACTTGTCTATGCTATTATGGTCATCATGTCGGAGGCAGGATTTGAACCCACCTCTCCTGACACTTAATCCAGCTCTCTTTCCACTATACTACAATACCTGGAAGATTAAAATTTGAGCTGAGTCTCTGGACCTTTGTCATGATCTTTAGGCCATTTAGGAGGAAGCTGAAAGTCAGCAATGGTCCTGGGAGAATCTACCCAGCTAGTCACAGCTCCTAGTCCTGGTCAAAGGTGGGGTAAGGGGCAGTACCCAAGTTCTTTGCTAACTCCACACCAGGGCAGCCCCAAGGAAGGATGTCAGGTTTAGGATCTCAAGGAAGTCATAGTTACCTACTCTAACCCCAGTACTTATTATAGAAAGAATCCATAGACATACACATTTATACCCCTCCCTCCAAAAAAAAGTACCAGAAGATGTGTGCTCTGGCCCCACTCCATGCCAGCTGCCTTAGCACCTTCTTAATCTAGCCTAGGGAAATAAGATCACTGCTATACCAGGTCTCTGAAGGTCAGCTCTATGTAGAACCATCACTTGATTCCAGATGGTCCAGAGTAGGTAAGAGTAAGTCTTTATGATGAGGTAGGCAAAGGGAGATTGGGCACATAGGTAAAATCATCAATCTGAAGCAGTGAAATACTTGTGCCTGTATGAGTACACTTTACATTCAAGTCCCCTAGGAGGCATGTTCTGGTGGGAGTCTTCAATAAGCCTTTCTCCCACCATTTCCAAAGATGGAAAGAAAGAGCTGAGACTAAAGTGCCCACATGCCAAGACTGAAGTCTTCATAGAATTCAATGGGGTCTCACTCGGGCCGGGCTGTGATTCTCTGATTCTGATTGGTTTTCCACCTCTGATGTCACAGACATGGAGCCACTGAGGCCATCCACTCTGCAAGCATGGAAGATTCCAGAAAGGGCAGGACAGGGGTGCTGGGGAGGGGGCACACCTGAAGCAAAGATAATCTGCCAGAAAGAGAAGAATCACTCTGTTTAATTTGGGTAGGAGGGTTGGCATAGAAAGGGAATGCAGTAACCTTGAAAAAAAAATAAGAAAGTTAGGAGAAGAGGTGGGTTTAGGGGAAAAGATAATAGTTTCTATTTTGGACATGCCGAGTTTTAGATGTTTATGGGACATCTACATGGAAATGTCCATCAGTCAGCTGTAGATGCAATATGAGAGTCCAAGAAAGACATCAGGATTAGATATACAGAGACCTATATATCATCTTCATAGAAGAGATCATTGAACCCATAAGAGCTGACAAGACCACTGAGAAAGGGTGGAGAGAAAGAAGAGGAGGATCAGGACAGAGCCTTGGGGGACACTCTCATTTAGAAGACAAGAGATGAATAAGGGGGCAGCTAGGTGGTGCAGTGGATAGAGCACTGGCCCGAAGTCAGGAGGACCCGAGTTCAAATGTGGCCTCAGACCAAACACTTGACACTTAACTAGCTGTGTGTCCCTGGGCAAGTCACTTAACCCCAATTGCCTAAAAAGAGAGAGAGAGAGAGATGAATGAGGAAACAGCAAATGAGAATGAGGAGTAATCAGATAGGTAGGAAAAGAACCAGAAGACAATGGTGTCATGGAAGTCAAGGGAAGAGATGGCATCCAGGAGGAGGAGGAAGAGATGTTCAGCCATGTCAAAAGTTAAAGAGTGAATGAGCATTGTGAAAAAGCCATTGGATAATATTAACAACATTAGGTAGCATTTATATAACACTTCAAGACTTACAAAGCATTTTATAAATATTGTCTTGTTATTTTATCCTTACAACAACCCTGGAAGGTAGGTTCTATTATTATCTTCATTTTGCAGCTGAACAAACTGAGGCTGAGAGAGATTAAGTGACTTGGCCAGGGTCACGCAGGCAGTAAGTGTCTGAATGCAGAATTTGAACTCAGGTCTTCTTGGCACCCACCAACTACACCTCCTAAAAAGGGGCTGAGGTGAATAGGAAGGAGAGTTCGGGAAAAGGTTAACCCTGAGAATGGAATCTCACCTCAATAGGTAGTGAATTTTAGCCCCAGAAGGCAGAACCAGTAGCAATGAGTGAAACCTACAAAGAGACAAGTTGGGGTGATGCCAGGAAACACTTCCTAACCATGAGGGCAATCCCCAAATGCAATGGGATGCCCTGAGAAGTAGTGAGCTCCCCTTCACTGGGGTCTTCAAGCTGAAATTGGATGGTCACTCGCTGGCACATTGTAATAGGAATTCTTGTTTAGTTACAGGCTGGATAAGATGGCGTCCTCAGGTGCCATTTTGTCCCTTCCAACTCAAAAATTCTGTGGTTCTGAATCACAAGGAAAAGCAGAGTAGGAGGTAGGAGTTGTCCTGTCATTGGGAAGCTAGTTAATTAGGGTCCCACTTTTCTGGGTCCTATAATAATGAAATGAGGTGTGGTTAGTACCAAGTGAGGTGCATGACATTTGCTCTGGCTTGTCACTCTGAATCCTGACATGATGGGGGTTAGAGGCAGAGATGGAAAGAGCCAAGAGTAGAGACTTGGTACTCAGAGTGATTGACATTTCAGGCACCAAGGCAGGTGAGTAAGAGAAATATTAGGAAAGAGTGGCATTTCAATGCCAATTCAGACTAACCCCTTCCAGCCTATGGAAACCTTTGCAGGTTTCAGCCCTTACTTCCTGACAGCCTTCACATGGCCACACTGGACAGACTTAGGAGAACTGTATTCAAATCCCACTACTTCCACTTATGCCACTAGGAGACCTTGGCCCAGTTAGTTCTTCTCTCTGAGCCTCAGTTTCCCCCTCCATGAAATGAGGGCTCCATAAATGGTGCTTGATTAAATGACCTCTAAAGTCACTTCCAATTCTAAGTTCAACCTAGCTCACAGTGTCACAGTGACCTTTCAATCATAGTGGCACCCCCTCTTCCCATAGGTCCTTAGACATTTACAGTAGCCTCCTCCTCTTCCAGCTTCTCCCCACTCTAATGTGCCCTCCTACCAAATTAATCTTTCAGACACACCATGGAGGCTAAGTGACCTGCCCTACCCAAAGCTGAACAGGTAGTAAACAGCAGAAGCCAAATTTGAACCCAGCTCTTCTAACTCCAAAGCCAGTAATGGCAGAATAAAGATGGTGACAATCCTGAGGCATTCAACAAAGTTTCCAAATACCAGTATCATTCAGCAGCCACAGATGAAGATCTGAGTTCAAGTCCAGCCTCAGACACCCCAGAGCTATGTGATCCAAATGGGGATCATAAGCGAGGATGACAATAATAGCACCTAGCTCCCTGGGTTGCTGTGAGAATAAAATGAGGTATTATTTATAAAGCACTGTACAAATGTTAGTTACTATTGTTGTTGCTGTCATCATTAATAGCTTTTCAGGAGCAGCTAAGTGGAGCAGTGGATAGAGCTCTGGTTTTGGAGTCATGAGGACCTGAGTTCAAATCCAGCCTCAGATACTTGACACTTACTAGCTGTGTGACCCTGGGCAAGTCACTTAACCCCAATTGCCCCACCAAAAAAAAACCAACAAAACCTTTTCAACACTAAAGAGAAAAACGGAAACTATACTAACCTAAGAATGCAATTTAAAAACTTGAGAGGACAGGGAAGTTGTCCAGATGTATAAATTCTTCCCTTTGACACCTATGTAACCCCAGACGCTGGTGCATGTACGGACTAGCCTGCTGGTTGGTCTCCCCTCCTCAGTTCTCTCCCCTCTCCATCCATCGTCCATTCAGCTGCCAAAGTGATCTTCCTCATATGCATGTCTGCTTCTGTCACCTCCTACGCAGTAAACTCCATTGGCTCCCTATTACCTCCAGGATCAGATATAAAAGCCTTTTTTCGGCTTTTAAAGCCCTTTCAACCTGGCCTCTTCCCACCTTTCCAATCTTCTCATACTTTAGTGCCCTCCACTCACCCTGTCCCAACCCCCAAGACTCTTCCATCAGCTTCCATTCCACCCCACTGGCCTCCTGGCTTCTCATACCCAACACTCCACCTCTGCATCTTTTCCCTGGCTGTCCTCCACGCTTGGAATGTTTTTCTTCTTTACCTCTGTCTCCCCCATTCCCTCAGCTTCCTTCAAGAAAGCTCAAATCCCCTTCTGCAAGAGACCCTTCCTGGGTCTCCTCAATGCTAGTGCCTGCCCTCTGAGATTTCTTTCCATTTACTCTATCTATATTTTGTCTGTACATAGTTATGTGCTCTCTCCTGTACTACAACGTGAGCTCCTTAAGAGTAGACTGTGTTTTTGCCTTTCTTAGCACTTTACCTGGCACATAGTAGGTGCTTATTAAATGCTTTGATCGATGGATGGATGGATGGATGGATGGATGGAGAAACTAAGACCCAGAGAAGAGTAGGGATTGACCCAAAGTCCATATAGCAAGTTAGTGGCCCAGCTGTGAGTAGGCCTAGATGTCCTCATTCCCAGGAATGGATGGTATGTCTGTTGCCCTCCTGCTTTCTAGTGACAGCTGGAACAGGCTTCCCACCCCAAACCAACCCTGTAATTCCTCCAGACCTTCTGACCTCCTTTGTTTTGATTTCCATCAAGGTGACGTCAGCATGTTAAGTTTCCAGGGTGCATGAAACATCTCTGCAAACCAGCCTGTTTTAGCGGGGTGAGGTGGGGTGTTTGCTTAGAACAAACTCTACTCACTATATAAGAGCCCAAAATAGAAGGTGGTCAAGTTGTCTGTGAGATCCTGCAGGTAAGAATACCATTCTAAAAAGATTTTTTGATCAGTTTACCTATGTGTTTATTTCTTTGCAGATTTAATTCACTGCACAGACATGAACAAGCGGCTTCCCTGCCCTGGGAATTTCCTGATCTATAAAATAGAGATTGGTGGGTGGACAAGATGCAAAGCCATCACTAGGAATCCCGATACCCAGGCCAAATCCAGGTGGTTTTTTGGTTGGGGGGGGACATAGATTATGATATCAGAGAGCACTTCTAGGCCATGTAGCTGTTACCCTATCCCGTTCCCTGGACCAGCTCAATCTCTGTGCCTGGAGGTCCCAGAGTAACCCCTCTCTCAGGGAAGAATATGCCAAGTGATCCCTTTTCCTGTTTGGAAAGTGGTCCAGGGTACCCCAGACCCACCTGCCTCTCATCACTGGGCTGCCCAGGAATTGCACTGACCCACTCACTGTCCAAGGTTATATTTGGCGGGGCATCCCTTCAGCAACCCACCCACCCCCAAACACACTCCCACCTCATATCCTGGGCCACCAGAGTCCCAAAGTCTCACTCTCCTCCCCAGCCTACCCCTAGTCAGAAGACTCTGATGGGAAGGGAGGTGTTTGACATAAGGTTGCCCTGCTTTAGTTAAAACAGGCTCTGACTGGAGGCGATCACTGCTCACTTCTCTGACATTCTATAAATCTCTGCATCCTTTCCAGCTCAAAAGATCTTTCTCTGGTTATGAGGCCATTCACATGAATATTGATCATCTCATGGGAATTAGCCTTGTCTCCTCAAGTTGGCCATAAAGGCCCGGAATATTCTCTTTCTTTAAATTAACCAGCAAGCATTTATTAAGCCCCTCCAGGTGCTGGGCTAGGTGCTGAGGATACAAATCCAAAAAATGAAATCATTCCTACTTCCAATTAGTTTACACATGCAAAGTTCTTTGTAAACTTTAAAGTGCTTTAGAAATAATAGCTAGTATTATTACTATTGTTCTTTAAATGTTTGATAAAATTCTCTTGTAAATTCATCTGGCCCTGGAGATTTTTTCCTAGGGAGTTCATCAATGACTTATTCAATTTCTTTTTCTGAGATGGGGTTATTTAAGTATTTTACTTCCTCTTCTATTAATCTGGGCAATTTATATTTTTGTAAATATTTATCTATTTCACTAAGATTGTCAAATTTATTGCCATATAGTTGGGCAAAATAGTTCCTAATTACTGTTTTAATTTCCTCTTCCTTGATGGTGGAGTCACCCTTTTCATTTTTGATACTGGTAATTTGGTTTTCTTCCTTCTCTTTTTTTAATTAAATTAACCAAAGATTTATCTGTTTTATTGTTTTTTTTTTCATCAAAACAGCTCTTAGTTTTATTTATTAGTTCAATAGTTTTCTTAATTTCAATTTTATTAATTTTTCCTTTGGTTTTCAATATTTCTAATTTGGTATTTAAGTGAGGATTTTTAATTTGTTCTTTTTCTAGTTTTTTTAGTTGTATACCCAATTCATTGATCTCCTCTTTTTCTATTTTGTTCATGTAAGCATTTAGAGATATAAAACTTCCCCTAAGAACTGTTTTTGCATCCTAGTATTATTACTATTGATAACAATACTGATATCCTAATGGTCCCCAGTAGGATCTGGGAACACAGAGGGCTCACAACACATACTCAGTAAAAAAAGGTAGCACCACAGTACACAGAGCCCTGGGCCTGGAGTCAGGAAGACCTGAGTTCAAATGTGACCTCAGACACTAGCTCCGTGACCCTGGGCAAGCTACTTAACCTCTGTTCGCCTCAGTTTCCTCATCTGTAAAATGGGGATAATAATAGTACCTATGACCCAAGTTTGTTGTGAGGATCAAATGCGATGATTGTAAAGTACTTAGCACAATTCCTGGCATATAGTAGATGCTATATAAATGTTAGCTACAATTTTTGTTGTTATTTATTAAAGATTGGAAGGTGAAGTCATAAGATAGAGAAATCACTGTGTAAGGCAGGAAAAAAAACAAAAAAGAAATTTGTCCTCTAGTTTCAATATCAGTCATATCATGGTCCAGTGGAAGGAGTATTGGCTCTGGACTGAGGAAACCTGGATTTGAATTCCACCTCTGAGGCTGCCAGTGTAACAGCCTTGCTAGGAATACTTTCATAAATTGATTTAGGAAATTTACTTAAGTTTCCTGAGCATCAGTTTCTTCATTTGCAAAATGAAGGGTGGGGGAGAAAAAAATGAGGAGAGGAGAAGACAATCAGATTGATCACCTCTGAGGTCCCTCCTAGCTTCAAATCCATCATTCATTGCAAATCTATCTAGGGACCTAGGTTATACAATATAGCTAAAAGAAATCGGGCAGAAAGTAGCCTGAGAGCACAGGAAGGGGGAAGGGGAGATAAGAGGGGCCAAGAGTACCAGGCACCAGGGGCCAGGCCACTGCCCACTGAGCAGAGTCATATGGCAGAACATAGCTAGTCTCTTAGCCGGGGTGGGAAGGAGGGGCTGTCTTCCTGCCTTTCTCTATTCAGGCCCCAGCTACTTCCTGTCCCATCGGAGAAGATGCTCCCCAAGGTGGTCACCTGTAGCCTACTCCTTCTCAGTGTGCTCTGGATTGATGTGGCCTTGGCAGGTTCCAGCTTCCTAAGCCCGGAGCACCCAAAGACCCAGGCCAGTACCCATCCTCCTCCATTCACCCACAAAGGGCTGCTGTCTTGGTTCTGGATTCTAATCTCGGCTCTGCTGTTGTAATTTTGTGACTGTGCTCAAGGCATGTAACCTCTCTGGGCCCTTTCTTCTCAAATTTCTCCCAAACCCTCGCCCCACTCCACCCACAAAGAAACACAAGGGAGAGATTTCAGAGGGGCTCACTCCCTGAAGGAAACATTCTGTGTCTTTCCAACAGCGGAAGGAATCCAAAAAGCCACCTGCCAAACTTCAGCCCCGTGACGTGGAAGACTCTTTCAGTCAGCCAGAAGGAGTAGAGAAGGGTTTGGAAATCCAGGTTGGTACTTCCACACAGTCAGATGGGGGTAAGAGGAAGGGGAAGGCAGAAATGGATTAGGAAGAAAGTGTCTCATCCATCATTCAATAACCAGGCACAATAACCAGGATGTATAGAATTACATGACCCAGTCCCTGCTCTCAGGAACCTTACAGTCTACTTAGGGGGCCTAGGCATTGGAATGGCACTAGGTTAAAGGGATAGCATTGTATAGTCAAATTGTGAATCAAGAGACCTGGTTCCTAGTCCTGGCTCTTCCACTTGGTTTCCCCACATGTAAGATGGACTAGAGGATCTCAAAGGTCCCTTCTGGCTCTTGACTCTTTAAAAATGAACTTTAATCCACATGCACAAACATGCACAACCCATAAGATAAGAGTTAATTTATAGATAGTACCAGCAGTCAGATTTCTAGTAGAGTTATTTTTTCAGTTATGTGGATCCCTGCCACCAGGTCACAAGCTATAGTCATCCACCCCTTGATTTAGCAGGAGAACCAGGCCTAGAACCCACATCTCCAGGTTCCTAGCCTAGTGCTCCTTCTCTTTCTCCAGTATAGCACAATGCTACTTATCTGGTCCCTTTCCATGGACTCCAGCTAAATGCAAAGTCATTTGCCAGAGGGACCCATTGCATTTTTCTTTCCATTTGAAGGTGGTCTAATCATCATCTGTTAACCACAACGTGGTTGTGTGGTATAAACACAAGATGGCAGAGTCAAAAGGCCTCAAAGGTCATCTAATAAATAAGCTGCTGCCCAGAGATAGGAAGGGACATGCCCAGGGTCACACAAAGTCAGTGGCAGAGTGGAACGAGAATCCCAATTTCTTGATACTCAATCAGTAGTATTTCTTTTTCATTAAGTTGCTTTTTGCAAACCAATTGGAGGTGGAACAAATGAAATTATTTAACCCGAATAATAAGAGGGATAGAAGGGACAACAGGGCCTTGTCCAATTCTTTACTCCTACCCAAGGACAGAAAGCAGTTCATCACAATTCAGACCTGTGTTCTAGTACTGCCTATATCATCATTAGTATAACCTTGAACAGGCCACTCCACTTTTTCCACTGCCTGAAGGTTGAGTGGTTGGGTCAGATGATCTCGAGGCCCCTTCCAGCTAGCTCTAAAAGCAGTTTAGTTCAAGTTGGGAAATGTTGATTAAAGGCCTGCTATGTGCAAGGCACTATGCTATTCACTGATAATACAAAAACCAAAAAATGAATTAGCTCCTGCCTTCAAAGAGCTTACATGCTACTGGAAGATAGGTTTTGGAGGTGGGAGATCTATCTACACATGGAAGTGTAGTACAAGGAAACTTGGGAGACAGAAAATTAACAACTGGAGAGATCAGGGAAGGCTCCAAGGAGGAGGTGGCATCTGAACTCAGGCTTCAAGAAAGCAAAGTGTCTAAGAGATAAAAATGAAGAGAGAGTGTAGTTCATATCCAAGACACCACTTATGGTCTCACGTATAGGCAGGGCTTCAGGAAACAGCTGTCCAGTTGGCCGGAACATAGAATTTGAAAGAAAAAGTAGTTTGAAATGAGTCTGGCAAAGTAGATGGGAACCAGTATGGGAAGGACATTATAAATGCCAAGCTTAGGAGCTGGTATTTTATCCTGAAGACAATGAGGAGCCCCCTAAAATTTTTTCAGGAGGGGATGACACGACCAGACCCTTTAACTAAGGCAGATTCTTTTCAAAGCCATGTATAAAGGATGAATTAGAGGAGAAACTGGGATGCCAATTACGAGGGTATTACAGTTGTCCAGGAGGGAGGCAATAAGGGCCTGAATTAGGTGGTGGCTGTGAGAGTGGAGACATTACAGATGGTAACAGATGAAGAGAGATCTAAGGCTTGGCACCTGATAGATTATGGAGAGTGAGGGAGAAGGAAGAGTAAAGAACAACTCCAAGGATATAAATCTGGGGGACTATGTGCACAGTAGTGCTTTTAATAGAAATCAGGAAGTTTAGAAAGAGGGACAGGTTTAGGGGAGAAGATAGTAAATTCAACTTTATATATACTGAGTTTGAGATTCTAGGGGACATCCGGATGGATGAATCCAGCAGGCAGTTAGCTCTATAGGAGAGATATTAGGGCTAGACATGTAGATTTGGGAATTATCTCTATAGAGATAATACTTAAAGTCGTGGGAGATGAGCTCACCAAGAGAGTAGAGAGAGAAAAGAAGACTGAAGAAGCAGGTGAAGGGTTGTCGTGGTGACTAAGCAAAGGAAACTGAGAAGCAACAGCTAGACAAGTAGAAAGAAAAGCAGGAGAGAGGAATGTCACCAAAGCTGAGGGAGGATCCAGGAGGAATGGATGGTCAATGAGATAAAAAGCTACAGAGAGGTCAAGGAGGAGAAGGACTGAGAACAGGCCGCTAGATTTTTGTGTTGAATAGATCTTGGAGAGAAATTTCAGGAGAGTAACACGGTGGAAAGTTAGATTGTGAGGGATGGAGAAATTAATGGATGGCGATGAAGTATGGCTAGCCAGCAATCTATTTGTCTCCATTAGAAATTCTTTCCAGAAATTTGGGAGTAAGAGTGAGAAGATATGAGATGATGGGTGGATGACAGAGTCAAATAAAGATTTTTCAGAATGCTGTGGACTGGAACATATTTGGAGGCAGCAGGGAAAGAGTCAACGGGCAGGCAGAGTCTCAAGAAGGGTGGAGAGAATGAATAATACAGCAGGCCTCTGTAGGAGATTGGAGGGAGTAGGATTGAGATGAAAAGTAGAGGGATTGGCTTTGGCAAACAAAAAGACCAACTCTTTCTCAGAAAAAGGAGCAAAGGATGAAAGGATGGATGCAGAGGAGTTTTGATGAGTGGAGTAGGGGAGCTAAGAAAGCTTACAATAGATAGACTTGATTTTCTCATTCGAATAGGAAGTGAGCAAATCAGGGAGAGTGTTGGGTACCACTAGGGCCTCGAGAGAAGGTTTGGACAATTCATGGGGTAGAGAGGAATGGGATAGAGAAACAATTAAAGGAGAATGCACATTTTGCCATGTAGCAATGAAGGCCCCATTGAGATGAAATAAAATTAATTTGTAGTAGACTCAGCCAGCACAGTAATGTGACTTTTTACTCCACCAGCTTCTAGCCTCTCAGGAGGATGAGCAGAGAAGGCAGATGGTGGAGATGATTAAAGGTTGATCAATTGTGAACAGCAGTTGGAAAAGAAGGCAAAGGAATCAAAAGTGAAGAATAAGGTCAAACCTACATAGAGAGGAAATAGGGCGAGAGCAGAGGTGGTGGATTTGGTGATGGACTAGAGAGACTGGAGGGTGCAGAAATAATCAGTCATAGATTTAGAAGTGACTCAGAGGAAGAGATGGAAGGATAAGAGATTATGATCAGAGACAAGACCCTCACAATCTGAAAATGAGGGCAACCCAGTTTGAGATAGTGGTGAGTAAGGTTTGATCATTCCTGTGGATGACTAAGAATAAAGCTTTAGGTCATGGGAATTAAGAACGTTGATTAACTCAGAGACCAGTGTGTTTGAGGAGTCCTTAACATGTATACAAGATCCTCAAGTAAGAAGATGGGGGTTGAGATAAAATCGATGCAGATACTGAACTCTTTGAGAAGAGGGAGAATGCCTAGATGTAAGCAGGTGTAAGCAAGAAGGATCTGAACGGGATTCTATAAACAGATGAAGTAAAGCTCATAGGAAGAGAGGCTGCCAGATGTTGAAGGAACAATGGAGGAGGAAGGAGTATGCCAATTCCTCCTTGGGGGATATGAAAGAAGGGCCAACCAGCATGGTACGGGACAACCATGGACACACTGATCTTTAGGAGGGAACCCCTGGTTTCTATGAATGCAAGACAGAAAATGAAAAGGAGACATTAAGGATGAAGGGGAGTATTTTCAGGCTTGGGTATGGGGGTAGAGGGTAAAATGGAAAAGGATGAAAAAGATTGGGATAGGATTGAGATGGGTACAACAGTACAGAAGAATTCAACAAAGAAAGGTGATTTTTATAATTTCAAATACCTGAAATTAGAGGAGCAAGATATACAAATTTGCTAGCCTAGAGAAACGCCATTTTGTTTGGACTTCTAACTTCCAGAGTCCTCTGACAATGGTAGGATAGCACTGATGTGGATCTTCTCTCTCCAAATATCAAGAAACTGATATTGAAGTCAGCCGGGAGGTTAGACAGGAGATCTGGACCCCCGGAATCAAACCAGCCCCCATATGGCACACCAGCTCAGAAATTACATCCCAAGATAGCAGACAATGAGAAACACCCAAGAGATAGCAGATCAATGGAGCATGATGCATTTGGCGTAGTCCTGGTGTCCAAGACCCTGGTGCTTTGGGCATTCAGTATAAGGCACCTCCACTCCCACCCTATCCCGTATTTGATTGAAGAGGTCTTGATTAGAAGAGCTCTAACACTAACAAGCCTATAATTCTATGATAAAGCTACAAGTAGGTTCCCCCCCCTCCCTTTTTAAAGAAAAGGCTATATTGGATGTTTAATTCATCTCCTGACATTGCTGGCAAAGAGAAAAGATTGGGTGCTATTTATTCCCATTTTAGAATTGGAAAAACTGAGTCACAGAGTAAATGACTTGATTAATGTCACCAATCATAAAGTCAGATTCTCTGTTCAGTGTTCTGGAGTCTAGATCAGGCCCTCAGGATCCTCATTAGCCTAGAGGGATACCAAAGGGGTTAAGTAATCCTGTGAATTATCAGAAGCAATTTGGGTCAGGATAGAAAAAAAGAGGAGGAGAAAAAGGGAGGAAGGAGTAAAAAAAAAAAAATAAGCAAAGAGAGAAGTGAAAAGAAGAGGAAATGTTAAGAAAAGGTGTCAAAGAACACACATACACACACACACTCCCAAGACTGGCCACAGAACTATTCAGTGAGATTTTAAAAGCACTAGGCAGGATGTCCTGCTTTAAAATATATCTCCCACCTCTAATTGAAGTGACTGAAATTCCACCATTAGAGATTTATTCCTTTGGGTTTTGAAGATTTATCTTCCAGAGTCTGCTGGGACAATTTGAACGGCCCTGGGTGGGGGGGTGAAGAAGGGGGAGAGTGGACAAGTTAAACCATTATTAGCTAAATTCTCGGTACTAAAAGCAAGTCTGGGGGCATAAGCCCTAGGGTAGACTCCAAGGGACAAAAGAGAGGAAGGGAGAATAGTTCAGGTGTTTGAGCCCAAAGACAAACTTTGACCAAGGGAGGCCAACACTTTTCAGTATCAACTGCCAGTGTTAGTCAGTGACTCCTGTGTCCCTGGGCTGCCTATACTCCCTTCTCCAGTGAGTGTGACCTTGGAAAGAATATGGCTTTGAAGAGTCTTTTTATGCTGAAATTTCCTAAAGGAAACAGACAGCCAACAAGGAAAGTCCCACTTGTCTCTAATCCCACTTTTGGGGGTGGGGGGATGCTCCTTTCTTTAGTTCAACGCTCCCTTTGACATTGGGATTAAAGTGGCAGAGGCTCAGTATCAGCAGTATGGGCGCACCCTGGAAAAGGTCCTACAGGAGATCCTTTCGGAAGAGAACCAAGGTAATTTCTTAAACATAGGACAATAAAAACAATAATGATAATAACAACTAGTATTTATTTAGACTTTCACGTTTGTAAAACATCTTACATATATGATCTCATTTGAACACAAGGTTTAGAGCTGGAGAGACTTAGAGACTCTCCAATTCAACTCTCTGAGGTCAGGATATCTGGGAAGATAACTGAAGCCCTTGGTTATTCATGTAAACATTCAAATATTTATTTATTAAGTTCCGACTGAGTACAGAACACTATGCTAGCCTCAGGATGTGAGAAAAGGTTTGGGAAAGACATTTTCCCTTTTCCTCACGAAGCTTATAGGCCAATAGAGTGGAGAAGACAAACATATATAAGGAGAAGGGGGAAGAAAGGGTTGGACCAATGAGGATACCCCTTCTGGAAGTTCATGATGGTGGAACAGAGGGGATCAACCCTCCACTTAAGAGCATGCACAGATATTCTTTGAGAGCTGGGCCTTCAATGGCCAGACCCCCATTACACAGAAAATTATGACACACACAATACCTAATAAATACATTAGAAAAGTACAAAGTCTGCAAAGGGAAGTTGTCATTGATCAGAGAAAATTTCCTGAAGGAGATGGCACATGAGTTGGTTGGGCTTTAAAGGAGAGCTAGGAATTTGACAGGCAAATTGGGGCTGGAAAGGTACTTAGCACAGGAAACAGTGTGAGCAAAGGCAGGGGAATGGGAAAATGCCCATGGTGTGTTGGGGTACAGAGTAAGTAGTTCAGTATAGCTAGAGTAAAATTCAAGGAAAAAAGTATTCGGCCAGGAAAGAAGGGTGCCACAAGTCTATGCAAGTGCTCAAAAGCCAGACAGAAATCTGACCCTGTGCCTGTATTTCCCATTGTCCACTGAGACAAGGGTCTTGTAGAGATGATCATCTCTCATTCAAGGTAGTCAAGCCTACCTTAAGAATCAAATGAGATTACATGTGTAAAACAGTTTTGCACACCTTATAGTGCTGTGTAAATGCCAGCTATTAAGCTTCTTCTGGTGGGGTTCTCATTTGAAGAACAGTCTGGGCTAGGTGTAACCCTCACCAAAACTGTCAAGTAAGTAAGTTTCATTCTTCAGAGGTCCATATCTCCCCATTCCCAATTCCTCATCATTTCAGCACCTCGGCCAGGTCTGGTCTGAAACACCTCAGGTCTACAGGTAAAGGGTGCCTATGCCATTATGTAATAGGGAACGTTTAGAGAAAATCCCCCATGGATGTCTATGTGACCAGTGGTGAAAAATTCTGAGCTGGGGCAGCTCTTGCCTTGTTACTCCCTGGGGATAAAGTTATCTTCCCCAGCCCAGGAGGCTACCTGTTTGAGGAGCTGAGAGGGAGTAGGAGAGAAAGGTGTGATGGGATTAGACTCTCTCCCCACTGCCAGCAGAGGGCACTTCCTCCCAGTAGAAGCCTCATTACAGCTCCATCCCCAACCCAACTGTATCAGTGACAATTTCTGATATGCCTTTATACTTTACTTTCCATTATATTCCTTCATCCTCACAACAGCCCTGTGAGATGGGAAGAGAGGGCATGTGATTATTATTCCCCTTTTACAGATGAGGAAACTGAGACAAATAGTTTTCAGTCTAGCTAAGTCAGTTATTGCTACTCCAACTTAACCTTAAGTCAGATTGAGTGCATTTCTGGGGTATTTAATAATGATAATAATTAGAGTTGATGAGACTAACTGCTCAAGAGGTAGGGTGGAAAAGTAGATAGGGTGCCTCAGAGTCAGGAAGACCAGGGTGGAGATCCCAACTCTCACACATACTGGCAGTCTAAGGGGAACAGGTCACAACCTCCTGGGCTCTAGGCAGCTTTCTGACCATAAACTGTAGGGGTGATTGGTAAGAAAGAGTTCCCTCATCCTGGAGTTCCTTTACCAATAAAATGCCGTATCCAGTTCTTAATCTAAAAATAGCTTAAATTTATTTATACTAATACCAACATGATAATAGCATTTATAAAGCTATGATAATCCAAAGTCATTTGGGTAACTCATAATTGGCTTTTCCTCTTCTGGCCCAATTTTGGTACTTTTTGTTGGTAATTAGTACTCAGGAATGATAAAATCATAGGTCCTAGGTGACCCTGGAAGTCAACAACTCCAACCTCTTAGTGCAAGAATCTTCTCTATGATATTCCATCAAATGCTAGCCATCCAACCTCCCCCACCCCAATGTGTCGAGTGATTAAGAGCTCATTGCTAAGCAATCTGATGATGGCTGTGAAAGTTCTTTGGGCAGACAGATGGTACAATGGAAAGAAGACTGGAGTTGGAGTCAGAAAGTTCAAATGTGACTTAAGACACTGTAATCCTGAACAAATAACTTAATCTCTGTCTACCTCACTTTCCTCATCTGTAGGAAGGGTTGTTGTGATAAAATAAAATCATTCATATAGCACTTCTCCAACCTTAAAGAACTCAATAAATGATAGTGATTCACTCAATGGTTATTAGCTGATGGGTCAGCTGACTCCAATAATTACCATTATTAGCCTTCTCCAATCTAAGCAGCCAGGTGGTAAAGTAAATAAGAACACCGGGATTCAGGGTGAAGAAGATGTGAATTCAAATCCTAATTCAAACACTTAGAAGTTGTGTAACCCTGGGCAAATCACTTAAACTCTCCTAATCTTCATTTCCTCTTACGTAAAGTGGGAATAACAATAGTACCTTTTTCCAGGGTTGTAGTGAGAATCAAATGAGATAATGTGGAAGGTGCTTTCCCAACTTTACAACAGTCTATAAATGCTTGCTATTACATAGGATGAAAACTGATGCCTTTTGTTTTGTTTGTTTTTTTAATGGCATCAGCAAGCAGAATTACAAATGGGAATTTTCATTTGATCTCACCTACTTTCTCTTTCTTTTTCAGGAAATACAGGAGAAAACTGATGCACTGAAGAGATGAACCCACACATTTTTCTAACCAACATGCATCATCCCATGTCTTGCATCCAAATTTGCTTCCCTGACAACTTCCCCATCTGTGCATTAATTGTATGCCGGGGAGAGAAATAAAATTCTCATTGTAGCCTGAGATCTCAAAAGGGGAACTTATTTCATCCCAGAAGTATTCTGTAACATTCTTGGGAAAGAACTTGAGCATTAGCCAATAGCATCAGGAAGACATATTCCATGGGGAGGGATGAGTGCCCAGTCAGTGAAAACCAGACAAAATCCGAATTCTTTAAAACTGACAAATTAAGGGCTGACTATTCAAAGGGTAGAGAGTCTCTTCACAAAGGATCCCCTCTGAGTGGGGTTCTTTTAAATATTAGAACTCTCCAAAATGCAGAGAAGAGTTTGTTTCTAGATTGCTAATTAGTGGAAAAGCCACAGCTGAAAGAAACAGTCTTTTTGATGTCACAGCCCACCAGACCACAATGGATAACTATAAATTTGTCTGAAATAATATGGAAGTCAATGAGCAAAGAAGAATTGATCTACCCTAGCTCACTATACTTTCCTATTCCCTCTATATCTTCTGGTGGGAAATCACAATCCATATTGAGGTTTTTCTGATATTGAACTTGATGGCCAGTGAACTTTGCTGTTCAATAGCCATCAGTTATACCCTTAACCTCAGGGGCCAGGTAGGCCACACATGTGATGGAATTTTAAGGGAACTGTAAGAGTCTTACATCCCCTCCATCTCTCTCTTTCCAGTACCCTCCCAGCTCTCTGCCCTACATGTTGTACTGCAAAGCACACTGAACTTGGGAGTCCCGAGAGACCTGGGTTTGAATCCCAGTACTAGTCCAGTCCCCGCCCACTATCTCACCTCTATTAGCCTCACTTAATTTTGTTAAATGGTGATGGTGAGGCAATGTGACCTAGTGGGTAGAGGCAGACTTCGAGTCAAGAAGACTTAGACTGAAGTCCTCTATCTGATATGTAAAAGCTTGGTGACCAGAGACAGCCACTTAACTGCAATGCCCCAGTCAACTCTCAAGATTATAAATTAAAAATCAGTCGTGAAGGAGTTTCCACTCTTTGCGGTGGAAGGAGTCTGAGCCCCACCTCCCATTTTTTAAAAATAGGGATAATACTTGTTTGATCTACTTTCCCAGGATTGTGAGGGAAACTCTTTCTTAGCCTTTAAATACTATGTAAATAGGAGCAGCAATATAGACCTTACACAGGTATCATTCAGGTGGTGTGATTTTCAGGAGCCCAAAACATATCATCCCTATTCACAAGATGTTGCCTATTTGACCCTGTAAACTTAAGGACCTCATCACTGTTCAAAAAAAAAAAATGGTATCTTGAAGGTGTCTACATTTACACTTCAATGTTAGTATCACAGAGAGTGATAGTTTGGTGGTGGGAGGCAGTAGGCTGCAACAAGTAACAATGAGGAACACAGAACAGGAGACAAAGAGGTCATCACAGAATTACTCAATAGGAGTAAAGATTGAGTGCTCATGTGGGAAGGGCAAGATAACAAGTGGAATTTGTGAATGCTCCATTCCTACCCTCTCCATTCCTGAAGGTGAAGCACTCCAGCACACTGGGTGGACTACGTTGAACTTTTGGGAGGACTGGATAAGAATCAATCACATAGGAACGGCAGACATGATGGGGCTGCAACCTGTGACTTTTGAGGGAATTTCCAAATTGATGACATCACAGCATCTGAGTATTTGAGATTAAATCAAGGACTGAAGGGCAGATTTATATGGGATGGGAAAACAGGACAGAAGACTGGGGCACCTGAGAGGAGGGTGGACCACCAAAGGAGAAAGAGTTAACAGTACTTGTACAGAGTACTTGTCCAAGATGAAATAATAAATGGGGGAGAGGAGGAGAGAGCTCAAAGACAAACTTAGATGTCAAAACCTTTGACCCTGATAAGTAACACTAACTTCATACCTTCATAATTTGAATTCTATGGAGCATGGAATCTCCAAATAGTACTTTGGTCTAGGGGGTGTGAAAAGATTCTGCCTCTTATGCAGGCAGACAGATCCCACTCACGAAGGACCCTAGCATAAGCCACAGGCCTTTAATAATAATTAGCATTTCTATAGTGCTTTAAGGTTTGCAAAGTGCTTTACAAACACTGTCTCATTTGATCCTCACAACACCCCTGTAGGTACAATTATTATCCTTATTTTATAGACAAGGAAACTCAAGTTCACAAAGGTTATATGACCTGTGCAGGGTCACACAATGAGTGTCTGAAATAGGATTTGAACTCTGGTCATCCTGAGTCTGGGTCTAGTGCTCTACTGCTACCATATACAAGTACAGGTCTTGCTGAAGACCCCAGCCTGGTACTGATTATATAAGGCAAATGAAGCAACAGGAGCAACCATCTTGTGGAGCAGCCTGGTATATGTCAGTGGCTCCAAATCCATATTCTTAGCCCCAAGGATAAGAAACTCTTTTCTAATGATATTTTCCCACATAACCACCCAGCCTGGGTAAGAAAGAGGCCAGGTCCTCAGACCTTCTTTGCCCTGTTGTCTTCTGTCGCGCCTTAGCAATTGATCAACACCCGCCTTCCTACTCTCAGTAAAAATTTAAAAAAAATTTTTTTTAATCTATTTCATCCTAGTTATGTGGAAGATGGGCCACCAACTCCCCTCTCTCAGAGGTATTTGCATTTTAAGTTTTATCACTGTGGAATGATTTTGAACGCTTTGAAAGAATTTAACAGATCCTAACAGTTAGAGGAAGAAGATATGTGAAGGCCCCTTCCTTGATACTGAGGTGGACAGTCAACCATTTACCTGCGCTTAAGGACATCTCTGCACCTAGCACCAATTTGGGTGACAAGCACCCAACCATATACTTATCCTGGGCCCAGGATGCCCTAAGTGTTTACGTCTAGTGTGCTGGGACCCGAGTCAAGCAGCCCAGAAGCGGTGCTGAGAGTGTGATGTGGTTAGGGGAACGGGAAATGTAGGACAATGGATAAATAACTGGATCCGGGGGCACAGCGTCTGGGTTTGAGTTCCATCCCTGCTTCTCGTTCATCATCTGCCACCAGGCAAGCCCCTTCCCTTCTTGAGGCCTAAGTTCTGCCATCTGTAAAACAACAGACTTGGATTTGATGCCTTCCATGGTCTTGTCCAGCTCTAAATCCTGTGGCTATCTAATCAGTGATGATAAAAGCCCCAAACCAGAGGCTGTTTTATGACTGAGGACTCACAGACACAGATCTACTAAAACAGGAGTCACACACCAAGCCAGCAACAAAACTGTTAAGTAATGATGGAGAGGCAGTTTGCTACAGTAGAAACCATACTCGACTCAGGAAGCAGAACATCCTGGGCTTATGCCCCAGTTCTGCCACCAAGCGAGCAAGCTAAGAAGCTCAATTTCTTCACCTTACACAGACCGCCTCAACAGTGCTTTGTCAAGCCTAAGGCAGTGCGGGTGACTGCAGCCCTTGAAGAGACGAGTCCCTGATATTCCCAAAAGCATTGCTCTACTTCTCTTGACAGTTATAAAGCCATCTCCGGGGAAGAATGCCTAGTGCCCTAGAGTTTTCTCCCTGTTTCTTTCCCCCCTCATAACCAATAGGAACAGTCCAGGAGAATAAATTTCAGATGATAAACCAAAGTAATTCATAAAATAAGCTGTTTAAGATCAGTAGCACTGGGGAAATTAAGGGACGTGGGTTCAAGTCCTGTGCCCATTCCAATTTCCATCCATGTAACCTTGGGCAAATTAATACCTCTCTAAAATTGTTTTCTTATCATAAAATGAGGTTGTTGGATTCAATTATCTTCCAGCTTTGACACTGCCATCAATGAGATGCCAATAATTCCAAGCATCAAATGTCCTTACCATACTTTCCAGGAAGTATCAACAGGGCTACAAATACTTTTGTCAAAAGTGTTCTCCATCAACATCACCCCCAGTAGAAAAGAGGGCACCACCTGGGTGAAAATGGGAGCTATGCTTTGTCCATTTTTTTTCTCCTACACTATCTCAGATAGATGTGAATCTGTCCAACTTAGACAGATGTCCGGGGAAGAGGATTATCTTTAATGCCTTACTACTCTAAGACAAATTATGGTTAATGCTTCTTTTCCTGCTCAAGCTTAGCTAAAATTCTGATAGGATACCCTATGATCTTACTTCTGTAATATAAATGCGATACAAAAAGAGAAAGCTACATCCACCTTTCCTTCCTGTGTGTGGCCTGGTAATTCACTTAACCTCTTGGCTTCAGTTTCTTCCTCAGTAAAGTGAAGGACTTGGACAATTTTCCAAAACAGGGGTTCTTCACCTGGGGTCTGTGAACTTTTTAAAAAACACATTTTTGTAAAAATAAATAAATGAAAAATGTTTTTGTCACTTTCAATAGAACTGGCTTCCTTTGTAATCCTATGTGTATTACTTTACGCATGTATAAGAGGACCATAGGTTTCACCAGACTACCCAAGTATTAAGAACTCTGCTCCAAAGGTTCTTTCCAGCTCTAAATCCTGTGAAATTCTACATCATCCCACTCCATCCTGAGGTTATAAAGCCAGGCATCAATCTCTGCACATCACTTACACCACTTACAGAGCGTCAAAACAAACATGGAAAACTAGGAAGATAGCTCAAGAATCACTTTATTTTCCCAAACAGTGAACCAGGAAACTTGGTGGGCCTTCTGGCGGCACAGCTGAGAGACGTGCCTTTCCAAAAGCAGGGTTGAAAATACCGCCAATTATCGTCAACCTCAAACAACCGATTGACGCTGAACAGGATTTGTAAAACAATAATCCTCAGGTCTACATAGCACCTTTCCCAGAAGGGGGACATGCATGGGATTGCCAACTTCCATTCATTTCATTGTTTTAATCCTCTCAACCAGGACTTTTTCATTTCATTTCAGGTCTAGGCAGCAATTCATTTACAGTGCTAAGCAGACGGTGAAACTCAGTTCACATCTGGTGGAGATTAGTACTTAGTATTCGCAGTTCACTTGGGTGACAATAAAAGCACGTTAAAATAGTATTAGCTAGCTCCCAAATCCTGGGCAGGACAATCAGGATTGCCTCCAATTTCCCACATGGGAAAAAATGAGGCAGAGAGCAGTTAATGAATGGTACAGTGAGCTGGCAGACCTGGCAATAAGACCTAGGTCTTCTAACAGTGGTGAATGCACCAGACTGCAACATCACATGCACAGGAGGGGGAAATAGCAGATATGAGAATTTAAAAAAAAACAAAACAAACCAACAACATTTTTAGCTCACAAAAACACTTATCTTCCGAGACCTCAGGAACAAAGTGAAAGCTAGATATTTGCAACTAAGATGAACTTTCTTTTAAGAAACAGAGCACTTAGGCCAACCCATCGGTTTGGTGACGAAGGGTTTAGATCAAAGATCCTTCTAAATTTAGAGAGGACAAGACACAACCCTCAGTCATATTAACTTCAGGGAGCCAACTATGAGTATGCCTTAAATAAACACTAAACAATGGGGCCAGACACAGTACAGAACACAGAATTACACCATCACTGGCCCAGTAGGCTCACAGTCTAACACAGAGATGGAAGAGATGTTGACACAAGGAAAAGATTTAGGGAAACACAGCGGGCTTCAGTATGTCTTCCATGCTTAAAAGACAGCTGGTCTGTTTGTTTCACATGGGAAAAACACTGAAAAGAAACAACACCTGGAGAAGTTATTTACCACTCAACTTGAGAACAAAATGCAGTTGTCACAGACAGAAATGGAAGCTATAT